GGAAAACAGGGTTTGTCAGAAAAGGAAACACTATAGGAATAGAGGAGGAACCAGGTGTAGATATCCTAGTATTGGAAGGAGTGAAATGGTTAATCTCTGGGGATGATTTTAAGGATGATAGGGAAGTAGGTGTGGGGTTACTGGTGGGAGAAGGAAGCGATCATTCAATGGCCATTAGAGGGGTATTTGGAAGACAAGTAGAGTGGGAGAGAGAGATGAAGAGAGGATCACAGCTATACAGAAGAGATGAAGGTTCATGACTTGCTGTGAGTGAGAGTAGTTTTGTTGGAAAGAGAACTAATGATGAGAAGAGAGAGAAACGGGTTCTAAATGATTTTTGAAAATGGCAGCAGGTTTGTGGGGAAACGTTATTGTACTGAGGGGATGAAGGGATTTGAAAGACAAGACATGTCATGCAGACTTTGAAAAGTCGGATGATGTGGCAGTTGAGTTAATCATGTTCCCATTTTGATATAGAATGCATAGAGAAACAACACATTACTACTAACCTGTGGTACATGGAACCTGATGCCCGAACAATTTTTTTTTTTTGAAAAAGGTTTTGACAGCTCTTCTTTCGCAGTTTATAACTGCACCTTTAGCTTCTATGATCATCATGCGTGTTTACCTGCAATGGTATCGATGTGAGTTAAGCTTGGTCAGAAAACACTTTAGCTAATTTATTCTGAGAGTGTCTTGCATAGCCAACAGTGTTGTATCTTGCACCAGGTTGTTATATCACAATAGATAGTGATGTCAATTCTTGATGTACGCTTCTTCCTAGTGAGAAGTGACTGTTGCACTGTCTGAACAGTCACTTCTATGCAGTTGCATTCCAGCTGGATAGTGGACTTGTACTTCTGTCAGAGAACACTAACGGACCAGGTCCTAGTTATGTTCCTCTTCTGTAACATTTGCGAGTTAGTCACTTTCCACTGTTACTTTCTGGTTGTTCAGTTAACTTGTACTTCTGCCAGGAAACCTTAAGAGACTAGGTCCCTGTTCTGTTCCTCTTTGTAATGATTGTGAGCAGTCACAGACTTGTAAATCTGTCAGAAAACCATAAGGGACCGAGTCACCAGGTCCCTGTTGTGTTCCTCCCTGAGGTGGTTCATGGACCAGGACAGTTGAAATGTAGGTTAGGTTCTCTATCTGGTTCTTCACAACAAGTTTGTTAGATCATCAAAACATCAGAAGCATAAGGCAAAGACATTGAGAACCCATCACACTCCTTGAACTGGGGGATTTCATCAGGGACTTGGGCAACGACTGCACGACCGCAAATACAAGCAATGAGGAAAGGGATCAGGTCAGAAACGAGATGTGTTCCACTTCTCGGGGAATGCCAGAAACACGAGAGGGATCAGGTCTTCGGTTTTCACCCAAACGAACCTCCTCTACCAGCCTTGGTCTTGGTCGTCGTCGATGCTCGAGAAAGGAGCCTTACTTTCTCGGTGGGCAAACTTGATCAGCCCCCTCGAAAAATTGGAGGGCTATAAAGGCGGAGTAGATGGTTGAGGGTGAACCTAACAAGAACCAGTTTCTTTCACTTGAGAACCTAAAAGGAGGTAATGTCTCCTTTGGAAATGGAAAGAAAGGTGAGATCATTGGTGTTGGAAAGGTAGGAAAGACAGACTCTCATTCCATTGAGAATGTCTATTTGATAGATGGCTTAAAATATAGCCTGATAAGTGTGTCACAACTGTGTGACATAGGTAACCTTGTGGCTTTCACTTCCACAAAATGTTTTGTGATTTAGCCTTACTACTGACTAAGATTATTTTGCAGGGAAGGAGAGTTAACAATATTTACATTGTAGATCTGTCNAAAAAAATAAAAATTATCATTAGAATAGTTTTTTTTTCCTTCGAGGACGAGCAAAGATTCAAGTATGGGGGAATTTGATGGATATAATTTATTCATATATTTTTTATATGTTAAATATTAAAGATTTTAAATAAAACATGAATAAATATATCATATTCTCCCATATTTTCTAACATACTTCGCAGGAGAAAGAGCATATGAAAATCGAAGAAAAGAAGCAAAAAAGAATGAGAATTGAGTAGTCAACCGGGAATGAAGAAGCAAAAATAGCACCATAGTTGCGACAATGGCAATTGGAATTCATGAAGCAAATTACATAAGTTGCAACTAGCAAAGTATGGTTGAGACTATGGTTCTTCCTCCGTAGAATGAAACACATTTGGCAAAGTCATAGTTGCAACTACAATTTCCATAGTTGCAACTATGGAGAACCTTGGCAAGAAAACTCTATAAATAGAGTGTGAATTTTGAAGAGAAGGGATATAGAGTCTTGAGCAGAGAAGAACTATTCTTGGTCTCTCTTTGTCTTTAGTATTTACTACTTGTTGTCTTTGTTTTAGAAGAATAATATTTCTTCATAAGTTCTTTATTCCTAAATTAGTTTTTCTTACTTCGTAATGGAGTAAACTTCTTTTGTTGGGATAGTTGATGAAGCTTGATATATATATTATAATACTATCTCAGTTTTAATACATTTTTGGTTTGAAACTTTCTATTTATATTTTATGTTGTGCTATAATAATAGTTTTTTAACTAATCATTGTTATCACTTCTATATATTTTATCTTTAAGTTACTCTCATATTAATTTTGTAATTCTCACGGAGCAAAATTAATATATAGTAACTATTGAATAAAATAGTGAAGTGAGAGCAATTATTAGTAAGCTATTATTAAAAGTTGATAATCTTGCTTGCCTCAATTTTAATTCTCACGGAGGAATTGTAGTCACAGGATTATTGATTTAGTAAAAATATTCTCACAAAGTTTTTACTATCTTTTAGCACAATTCAGACCAGAAGATATTTCGGTTTAACTGTCACCAGTTTTAACTCAATTAATTACATAACCTCACGGAGTGTTATTAGTTGATTAATTTTTGATGAGATAAGATATAATTGTATTAGCAATAAGCAATTATCCTTTAGAGAAATACATGTATAAAAGTGAGATTTTACTATAATATATTATTAAGTGAATTCAATGATTCCCAACTCTTTTAAATTATAAATCTTCCGGAAGTAATTGGTTTTTATTTAAGTAATTAACAACCTTTAAACCTCACTCACTTTTCATCAATCTGATTCTCTCAAATAGTAGTTGAAATATTAAGGGTCTGTAGCATAGATGTTCCAATCTCTGTGGGACGATATCATAAACTATACTAGAATTTGACAAAGCACGAGCAGGAAAATCCTATACACATTGGCCTCGTCAAGAATCTACCGGGGCCAGCGTAAAAGGGTAAGTTTAAATACTTGAATACCCCTCCATTTGGGTAGTGATATCGTCATTAGGCCCGAGACGATCACGTACTTACCTTCCCATTTACAATCCTCTCGGACTATGGGTAGGGTATCTTTAGTGGCGGAGCATATGTATCTACATGCTCCCTCGCCTCGGTCTTGTTGACTAGAGGCCTTCTCGGCCTTAAAGTCATCCCCGATAGAGAAGCCCACGGGTATGAAGCTCTTCATGGGGCTTCATAAGCCACCTCGGGAGCGGCCACCTCGACACCCGTAGCCATGTTGGAAGACGAGGGAGTCGTTTGTTGTGGTACAGACTTGAAGTTTTAGCCATCGCGATTTGGGAAAATATGAAGTTTTCAAGGAGAATATGATGATTCAAAGGAAAAATATGAAGATTTAAAGGACAATATGAAGATTCGAAGGGAAAATATGAAGATTTGAAGAAAGAATATAAAGGTTTGAAGGTCGTAGATGAAGATATGAAGGTTCAAGAAATAGGGTATGAAGATTCAAAAAAGTTAAAAGTCGTTGGAAAATTTGAAGGTAAAAGCTAGGATCGGAAAGTGAAAGTGGAAAAAGTCAATTTTTATAGGGGAAACCAGTCAATGCACGGGGTTTCACATTTGAACGCAGCCAGCCAGTGACTGACACGTGTTCAAAGTCAGAACGACGCTACTGACGGGACGTTTAGGCTTATTCGTCGCCTCAACTGTAATGTACAAAGGAAGGAACTGGGGTCCATCTACTGTTTTCCATCGTTTCGGTAAACCTACTCTCGAAAAAACGAGGGGACTATCTGTATACGGGTAAAATTGGGGATAACCTCAATTTTCCGGTGAATAAAGTGGAATGAGGGCATGAACATACGAGATCGGAATCGAAGCTGGGGACCCTTTGTATCGAGGCCCGTGAAAAGTGAACGAAGTGCTCGCCATCGGACCTGATAAAACGACGCACCCCTGACTCGGGACGAGTTCTAAGACCCCGAAAAGCACAATGAACGGCTATACACGACGGATAGAGGGTTGTGATATTCGCCACCAACTGAGATCATGGCACGGATCTCGCTCGATGTCGGTTACAGATAAGTAATTATTGAGAAAAAAAGATTTTTACATTTTTTAGATTTGTACTGGGGATGAAACTCTCCTAATATATAAGGGGGAAGCTTTTCTTTGATAAGGAGAAGGGTAACACGCAAATCAAGGCAATACAAATTCATTTTCTGCTTTCAAGCTATTAAAAAAGTTCTCACTTAACTGTTTTTTCTTCATTCGCAATTGGGTTTGAACCAAGGGTCCGATCGAGGGTAAAACTACTGTTCAATCCGGGCTCGGGCTGGGCTGTAACATTACAACTAGTTTGATCATTTATTTTGTCTTTAATTGGTTTGTCTAGTATTCCTGATTATTTGTGTTGAATCAATCCACATTTTCTTAAAGTCGTGTATAAATTTAATTGTTATCCGATTTTAGGTTTAACATATATATAATAAAAAGAGAAATCAATTCTCGACTAAAACAACCAAAGGATCCCAAATGTTTGGCTTTGGTTTCTCATTTTACGATATTTGGCCAATTGTGGTACACTAGTATTAACAATCAACATTACAATTACAGTACTAAATAAATAAGAGGAAAAGAAAATTTAAGGCAGAGTAGAGGAAATTGAAAAAGGAGCTTTCCTGTTTCATATGTACAAAAGAAATTATCCTCAAAAGATCAGTGGAGCAAAAACTTATGAAAAACCGAAGCAAAGGAAAAGTTTCACCTAAATGGATTGTTATCTTATGCATCTTCAGCTTCGCTCTTGGCATGCTTTTCTCTAAGAGGTACAAAATCTTTTTCTTTTCATTTGACATTTTGTAGAAAAATTCTGGAGATGGGGTAATTTTTAATGCATAACTTGTCAAGAAATAGCTTTTTAATTTGGTTGAGTTTATAATTAATTGTTTGAATTTGTTGAAGAAATTTGGTGAGTTTAATTTCTGATTTTAGATACTTGCATGCATGCAGTGGCGCGGGGCCACATGTACATGCAATGATTCTGAATCCCCTCCGTTAGGGTAAAAACCTATTTTCTTAATACAATTAGTATAAAATTTTGAATGACTTTGACATAAGAGAGAGATATCGGTTTAAATCTGAGGTGTAGCATTTTGGATTTTTTTTTGTGTGTTAATTTGTTATTCAGTTAATTTATCAACGTTCAATTTGACAATTTTTACGTGTGAATCTTTGCATATATGCAATTGCAACTAGAGTTTGGGCTCCTCCTGATAATACTGTATCAGATGGACGGATCACGTTTCCAAGGCTGTACAATCAAGAGCAAAAGTTGAATTCTGTTCCTCATGATGATTGTGAAAACAAAAAGAACCAGGTCCAACACTCTCTCAGCCCCTATCTCTAGCAATATACTATATAACAACACAAGAAAATATAATCATCATTAAATATATATATATATATATATATATATATATATATATCATTTAGTATACAGTGTATATTTTATGCATGTATGGATGTATGTTTGTACGTGTGTATCTTATGTTGTTGTCTATGGTACTCTTTTGTCAATGCTAGTAACCAATTTTAACAGGTAAAATTGATACTCCATATGTATATCATGAGGAAAACTTAGGACAAGCATTTGATTAAAACAAATGTTAAAAACTGTAACAGAGATCGTGAAAACGAAATCAAGAAGGGCTTTGAGGCGTGAAAATCGACTTTACTTAAAGAGATATAGCTCATATACAGTTTGGGGAGATACAAGAAATTCTCTTCCAGATAAAAATTTAACTTTGGTCACTAGGATTTAATCACTTAATTTGGTAATTAGGTTATAATTACTTGGATGAGAGTCATGAGACTATCCAAAAGTTGATCAGGACAAATTCTGGGATAAGAAGGAAGCCTTTTATTGTAATTGGAATAAACACTGCCTTCAGTGGCAGAAGAAGACGTGATTCCATTAGAGAAACCTGGATGCCCCGAGGTATAATAATAGTAATAAGAACGTATAGTATTAGATTTTGCATTTTCTTTTTTCCTGTTTTCCTCCTCTTTCAGTTATAAATTCCATGTGGATTAGGTGAAAAGCTACTCCGATTAGAGCACGAAAAGGGGATCATTGTTCGCTTCATGATTGGCCACAGGTGAAATATATTGCTCCATGCATTACACCTAATTATGTATTATTATTATTATTATTTTCATCTAATTATGGACCATTCTAAGTCATGTGAATATTTCTGCTTGAACACTTGTAGTATTTCTTGCCAATGTTGTATTCACTTTGAAAAGATATGAAACATTGCCTTTCATTACCAATATCTGTCGTTTTACAGCACAAAGTTACCTAATGTTCGCTACTACTAATAAGGGCAGAGAGATGTTAACCTTCCGCTATTAGTAAGCACTCCCCTAGTTTTGACCTAATGAGCTTTCTTTACGTTGAGTTAATTAACCCAGCGGGTTCGCCTAGATGCCTAGTAAAGAACGAGCTGGTGGGAAAGAGCTGGAGAATTCGCTCTCAGATTCCGTGGTCTTTTTTCTTTCTTCATTTCTGTTGATTCTTTGGTGGTGGTATCTGAAGTGATCATTTGTAATTAGCTTTAAGGGAAAGAAATGACATTGAACATACAATTTCGGCATATTCTTTATCTATCAACTTGCTGCAGCCAGGGAACTTTGTGCTCTTCTGGTTCACATCAGACTGAAACATTCTTGTGCTATTTTATACAGTGCTACATCCAATAGCATTTTAGATCGAGCCGTTGATCTTGAAGATGCTCAGCACAAAGACATTTTTCGCCTAGTAAGCGCAAAAATTACAATTTGATTTGCATTTGATGTGATTGATTTGTGCTTCTACTTTCATCTCCCATTGCTATTTTACAGGATCACATAGAAGGATACCATGAGTTATCTGCAAAGACACAAGCTTTCTTTACCACTTCTGTTGCAAAATGGGATGCCGAGTTCTATGTAAAGGTTGATGATGATGTTCACGTTAATTTGGGTATATCCACTCTCCTTTCGACCTATCATGTTTTTTTTTTTACTACTCAAGATCTCCAAATACACTGGCTTTCTTCCTTGATTTTGTAATGGTTTTAACTTATATACACTTGATCGCGTAAAGAATTTTAACACCATCATAGTAATTTCACCATAGCAGATTACTAACTCTACTTTTAATGAGCAATTATTTGTAATAACTTTTTAAGTGACATGATAATGTAAGTTCTTTTAAAAGTTAAACTAGATATTTGGAAATTTACACCTGATTGCCATTATGTTGTAGGTACTCTTGCTGCAACTCTAGCCAGGAATCGGTTGAAATCCAGGGTGTATACAGGATGCATGAAATCTGGGCCAGTTCTTTATCACAAGTAATTTTGTTGGAAACTTCCTTGCTGGAAACATAATTCATTTCCTGTTTCAGTCCCATTGCAGGATATCAGTTGGTAAAAATCACATGTATCTTGTTTTCTTTCATTCGTACGAATGTTAAGTACCATGAACCTGAGTTCTGGAAATTCGGAGAGGCGGGAAATAAGTACTTCCGGCATGCAACTGGACAGATATATGCCATCTCAAAAGATCTTGCAACATATATCGCCAATAATCGGTAAGATAATTTGCTGATGTCTGTTTCCTTGAAGTCAGGGCCTAGTGTTACATCTTACTGTAATGCTCTATATATGTTGATTGACAATATATACACCAACCCTATGGTAAATGATATGGTGATTTCAGGCCCATTCTGCATAAGTATGCAAATGAGGATATGTCACTTGGTGCATGGTTAATAGGTCTTGAAGTTGAGCACATTGATGAACGTAGCATGTGCTGTGGAACTCCACCTGGTATTTTTAAGCAGCTTCTATTTCCACTTGTTACATATCTTTGAATAAAGGTATCTGCAACTTCTCGTGTTGCTGCAGAATGCGAATGGAAAGCGCAAGCAGGTAATGTTTGCGTAGCGTCGTTTGAATGGAGCTGCAGTGGAATTTGTAGATCAGTCGAGAGAATGAAGCATGTACACGCCAAGTGTGGCGAAACTGCTGCTACTCTTTGGGGTGCTCTCTTGTAGTTTGCATGGAGGAGATATGTTTGAAACAAATCTTTGACAGAGTTCAGCTGAAAAGTTAGCAATAGTGTCATTTCTGAAAAGAACTAAATGCATATTGCTGATGGAAGCTAAGGCTGTCAAAGAAAGGAGGAGCATACAAATTGTTGGAATAGTTTTAGGTTTTATTAGAATTACAAATTTTTGTAGTTCCAAATTTTGATACCACATTGTATATTGTGATCTAAGATTCAGTGGAACTCTTGGTCAGATTTGCTGTTTCTTTTCATCTCAGTGGGACTCTTGGTTAGATTTGCTATTTCTTTTTATTTTTGCAGGTTTCATATCTTCATGTATGATGAGTCTAAAATTGTGATGTACAAACAGAGAGCTTGGATTGAAATAATTATTACAGTATAACTAAAATGAATCGAAGTTAATCTGCAATTTGAACTACAAAACCTATAGCATACTTGTAGGTTGAACAATAAAACTCTGCCATCTCTTAAACACAAAAGAAATGTCATCATAAACACATAATTCAGCGAAGAAGACATGTAACATGTAGATGAACAAGATTCTCTCTTTCACTCGCAAGAAATTCTCATGCACCACAAAAAATACCATAAGATTCTATCTTTCACTCGCAAGAAATTCTCACGCACGACAAAAAATACCATAAGATTAATTTGCCCGATTTGACATTCTCCTTTAACCTAGAATTTTGTAGGATTTTCGTGGTTGTAATGTCAAGTTAGAGATAAGTAGGATACAGTATAGACTACTGAGTGACTCAAAAATTCTCCTTGGGAATCCGAGCATCGATTTAGACTCTTTTCGCATATTTAAACACGATCCGCCAACTGGTGTTCCTTTCATACGCTAGACGAGACTGTCAGGGCCGTACGAGAAAACTAATGTCAAGAGCAATTGAGAGAACGGAAAAACGAATTGAGAATGAAAGAAAGTTTGATTGCATTAATGAAAGCTATTACAGAAAGGTAACACAAGACACCAGTGCAGAGAATTGTTTGCTTGCTTGAAAGTTTGATTACTTGATCTCCCCTAATAATACTTACAAAAATAAACCAAAGTTACAGGACTTGACCTAACTAAGCTATAGAGACATAATAAAAATACAGGAAGTAAAACTACTCTATACTATAATGTAAATGACATAGATTCCTACAAGGTAGAAGCAGGTCCGTTGGCAGCAACCTTATCTTTAGCATCAGAGTCTGTTGGCATCTACCTGCGGCTGGGCACTGGCGAGGGCCATCGGTGGGGCAACATAAGCACAGACGTGCTTGTCGCTTGGAGCGGCCAAGACCACGGAGTCGTCCATGGCACTAGCATTGGGAGGCTTGCCAGGGCGCCATGGAGCGCGTCCAAGGGGTCATGGGGCATGGCTGGAAAGTCCCCCTTGACATTCTCCCCCACCTGAGTTGGCGACGTCCATGGCGCCTTACATGCAAGATAATCATCGATCATGCTCTTGTAGGCTTTGAGGTTTGTTCCCCTCTCCCAAGTATTTTCCTATGTATCACAACCCTGCCATTTCACCATGAACTCTTGGTGATCTTTCCTTGAAGCATGAACTACTCGATCATCGAGAATAGCTTCTACACGCCTTTTCTTGGTTGAATTAGGGCCTCGAATATTGGGTATTGTGAGTCGGCTCCGTGAAGGATCCTCCATGTCTTCCCGAAATGGTATTAGAAGGCTGACATAGAAGACTGCATGAATCTTCCACCAGGCAGGGGTATCCACCCGGTATGTAACTTTCCCAATGCGCTTCTCAATAGACAGGGGTCCAATGTACTTTTGCAATAGGCGAGGGTCATGGACCCCTGCAAAGAAGTATTGCTTTGGGATTTTCACCATCACTTTTCTCCTACTTGGTATTCAACAAAGCGACAATTTTGATCAGCATGCTTTTTCATCCGCTTTTGGGCTTTGACAAGATAGCTCCGCACTATCTCGCTTCAATTCCTTCGAGAAGCTAGCAGCTCGAGGAGATTTTGACATGTTTCGGGCATTCACAATTTGTGGGAGTAGCGGTTGTTGTCCGGTAATAATTTCAAAAGCGCTTTTGTCTGTACTAGAGCTCTTTTGTGAATTGAAACATAGTTGAGCAGCATCTAGAAGCTTCACCCAATTCTTCTGGGATCCGGTAACAAAATGGTAGAGGTATTCCTCCAGGATGTTATTGAACCGCTCTGTCTAGCCATCAAATTGCGAATGGAAACTTGAACTGTGGCTCAACTTTGACCTAAGGCACTTAAAGATTTGTGTCCAAAAGTTGCTAGTGAAGTGAAAGTAGCGATCACTAACGATGTCTTTAGGAATACCCCAATATTTGACAACATGAGAGAAGAAGGGTTGAGTTGTATCTTAGGCTGATATATATTTTTGGGCTGCTATAAATGTAGCATACTTGGAAAACTAATCTACCACAACCAAGATAGTTGTAAGATCTCCGACCTTGGGCAATCCGGTGATGAAATCCAGTGAAACACTTTCCAAGGTCTCTTTGGCACATGCAATGGCTCCAAAAGTCCTACTTGTGTCAAGCGGTCTGACTTATCTTTCTGGCATACTAGGCAAGCTTTCACATACCGCGTAACATCATCGTCCATTTGAGGCCAATAATAAGCACATCGCAATAACACCATTGTGTGTTCTTCACCTGTATGGCCAGCCCACAAAATATCATGGCATTCCATTAGAAGAGTCCTTCTCAAATCGCCTCCTTTAGGAATATAAAGTCGGTTCCCTTTCACCTTCAGGAACCCATCTTCTTCGTAGAACTAGCGAGTCTTGCCTTGTCCTACCAAATCGACCAAATATTGTGCAACATGATCCTTGGTGAGTATATTTTGTATCTGTTCTTTTATAGTGGTGTCCACCTCGCTCCCCCTTAGGGTGGTGAGTAGGTACACCGATGCTAGATTAGCCCTCGACTAAGCGCATCAGCAACTTGGTTGGTCTTCCCATATCGGTACTCCAGGTTGAAGTGAAAATTCCACTAGGAGTTCCTGCCATATGGCCTATCGAGCATTCAACTTTGGCTGGGTCATGAAATGGCTAACAGTTGTGTTGTTTGTCTTGACCACGAACGGAGTTCCCTACAAATAGTGCCTCCAAAGGTGTAAGCAATGGACGACAGCCAATAATTCTTTTTTGTGGACGACATAGCGTCGTTCTGCATCCTTCAACTTCCGGCTCTCATATGCAATTGGATGCCCCTCTTGTAGCAAGACTCCGCCTAGAGCATAGTCATAGGCATCTGTTTGTACTTCGAATGGCTTGGCCAAATCAGAGAGGGCCAAGACGGGGCTACTAGACATAGCCGTTTTCAATGCGTTGAAGGCCTTTGTTCGCTTGGGACCCCAATCCCAGGCTTGTCTTTCCTTAGGAGTTATGTCAACGACACTACAATGAGAGAGTAGTTCTTCACAAATCATCGATAAAAATTGCATAGGCCAAGGAACGACCTCAAGGCATGGATACCCTTAAGCGGCGGCCAATCTGTGACAGTCTAAATCTTCTGTTGATCCATCTTGATCCGGCTTTCCTCGATGACATGTCCGAGGAAGTCAATCTGTTTTTGGGCGAAGAAGCACTTGGATAGCTTCACATATGATTCGTGCTCCCGCAGTCGGGCTAGGACCTACCGCAGGTGCTCCGGGTATTCCTCCAATGTTTTTCTATATACCATAATGTCGTCCAAGTAGACTACTACGAATTCATCAATGCACTCTCGGAAGACCAGGGTACAAAATGTGGATGGAGCATTAATCAAGCCTAATGGCATGACCAGGAAGTTGTACGACCCATATCTTGTCACACAAGTCGTCTTATATTTATCTCCCTCAACAAATCCGGACTTTCTAGTAACATGTCTTCAAGTCTACTTTTGTGAACATTGTACCACCACCCAGTCTATCAAATAGGTCTACTATTAGTGGAATAGGGTACTTGTTCTTCATTGCGCTTTTGTTTAAGTCCCGATAATCCACACAGAGTCGTAGGGTGCGATATTATTTCTTTTGGAATAGCACAAGGGACCCATAAGGGGACTTCGAGGGCACAATGATCCCCGTGTCCAGCATTTCCGTCAATTGTCTTCGAAGCTCGGTGAGTTCGGGTTGTGACATTTTGTAAGGTGCCCGGGCAGGTGGCTTAGCTCCCGGCACCAACTCAATCTCATGGTCCACAGTGTGCCTAAGCGAGAGTCGCTTTGGCATGTCCTGTGGCATAACGTCTTCAAACTCCTTTAGCAGCTCCTTCACGGATGCAGGAATAGGATCCGAAGAGCGTATAATATCTTCAATACAGAGGGTAACGATGAATGTAGGATCATGTCTTTAGACTCCCTTCTTCAACTGCAAGACCGATATGTTCTCCGCAGCCATCTTTATGGTTGTGCATGGGATAATGAAGGGCTTGGCCCCATTTGCCCCCATCATCAGTATCATGTCTTATAAGGTACAGGAATGGTGTTGGTTTTCCTCATGAATTCCAATCAAACTATCAGCTCTAATGCATCTATGATCACTACGCGCAAGTTGAATTTTCCTTCATAAGGACCAAGATTCACTGGCACCCTTTGGCTATTCCACCCACTGGCTGGGGTGGTGAGTTGATAGACTTGACACAACCTTTGCCCTTTCCCACAACTAGACCGAGGCGTTCTACCTGAGTTGAGGCTAAGTAGTTGTGAGTAGCGCCCATGTCTATCATCGCCCGAATGGGCTTGCCATTAACTTTCATTTCGGCGAACATCAGGGTCTTCTCTTGGTTAAGAGGAGGCCCCTCATCCGCCTTCGTTTTCGTTTTCTTGCTGGTTGGGCATGGGTCCATCTTCTTACAGATACCGGTACTAGTTCATGCTAAGGCCTTATAAATAGAAACAAACAAGTGTGTTGAAGGCACCTATTGGTTCTGTCTATCAGCATTATATGTGTCGTCATCCGTCCCATCATCAAAATTTTGATGGGCATTCATTGTTCCACTGTGTCCTGCTGCAATGACAACATCCTGAAGGAGGCTTCCTCCCCCAATTATCACTATTGCTTCCTGAGGAAGGAGTCCTAGATTTGGTTGCTTTCTGATCTCCTCCACTTCTTTTAGGGATACAATTTCTAGGATGACCCTTTTTGTATCCTCCATAGATAGGCGGTTGAGGCCTATCCCTCCGAGCTTCTACTTTATAGTCCCCAAGGCATTCCGCTGCTTGGATCGCCTTGGGTAAAGTGGCT